CCCCAAAACCCCAAAACCCCAAAACCCCAAAACCCCAAAACCCCAAAACCCCAAACATTTGTCAAGGGGTTGTAACTAATAAATTTATGAAATTTTCTAAAATGTTATGCTAATGGGCTCACGATACTCTATAATATTGTATGAAGTTAATTTTGCAGTATTAGGAAAAAAGTAGTTAGAGGAATTTGGAAAATAATTACAGCTTATTAGTTGAAGTATCACATTCCTGAACCAAGAGCTTAATAAATAACATTGCACTTTGTCGTTTAGCACTCATCATCAGATGAAGAGTACTCTTGTTCCTCTAGGTTAGAGCTCATGTTTCTTTTGTTGTAAAACTTAGATTTTTCCATTGCCATTCTTCTTTTCTCAAGATTAACAAGCTTCTTGACAAGACTAGCCTCTTGAACTTCCAAGGAAATTAGCATTTTGGGGTGAATTTGCTCGTCCTTAAGTTTCTCCTCTACACAAGTTAATAATGTCTAAATAGGGTATTTACCTTCTTTGTTATCACTCTCATTCGTTGATTCTGTAAAGTTCCCAATGAAAGGATTTTGATCAGTTGACATTTCTTTTTCTAAAGTAAATATTTAAATTATTATTGCAAAATTTTACCTTCATCATCAAATCTTCCAAGAGTTATTTGAGGAAGACCCTGAGATGCCTCAGGTAAGGGTCTTTTCATTCCAAAAGTTTCACTCTTGAACCTGCTCTGTTTGACAGCCAAGAAATCTGGTGATAATTTAGATTCTACAAAGAGTCAGGCATGAATATTGATAGTCTTACCTTTCTCTGAAAAATCTGGGGATAAGTTGCTGCTTGTATCGCTGTTTGTATCCATTTTTACAATATCGATTAAAATTTTAGCAGGCCTAGCCTTCTTCTTAACCTTCTTGAGAGGTACTATCTCTTTTTTCTTCCCTGGTGCAGGATCTTCATTGGATTTATCAGAATCGGAATCATCTCCATTCTCACTTGGAGCTTTGACAGACTTTCAATTTGATTTGTTTAGAGGTTTATTTTAAACCTGGGAAAAGCAAACCCTTTTTCTTAGAATTTGGAGCTCCAATAGTAGGTGAAGAGAACAAATTCCGATTGCTCTTAGTCTTCTTGAACTCTGCGATCTTCTTCACCTTCAATCCTTTTCATAGATGTGGGGGTGTCTTACTTTTAGCTAAATTAGATAAGACAAAGAAAAATGTGCAGAAAAATTAATACTCCTCTTTGTACTCAGATTTTAAATTAGGAACTAAGACCCAGCTGATTTGTATCCCAAATTACCTAAAAACTAAAAACATGCTAAGAATTTTGCTAATTTTTCATAAAGATAAAATAAATTAGAATAGTCCCAAGTAGGTTTCAATATTGTCAAGTTCAGAATTTTATGTATTTCCAAGTGAGCTAAATTCCCGAATATGCTCAGATTTGACCTAAACACTATATTTGTGAAGCCTAGCTTCTTTAAGAAACTTTTTATTATATAAGAATTATTCATAAGGCAGAAAAATATATGAATTCTTCATAAAAGTTTATAACAAAATTTCATGCTTATTTTTAGGAGAATTTCAATATAGTTTCAGAATTTTTGGAAATATTTAAGCCAAAGAGCCAATAAGGCAAAGAATGCTCTTACAGTGATGATAATAACGGTAATTAACTGTTACAGTCATAATGAAGGTTCAGTTACAAATATTTACTGTTTCAGGATTGTTTAGGCTGAAGTGGATCTAAAATTATGAAAATCCAGAATATCTAACTTTTACATACAACAAAGCTGTTCTCACCTCCCAATCCTGGGCATAAGCCCAGGATTGGGATGGCCAGATACGCGTTTTGGCGCATATATACTCAAGTAAAGTATGTTATTTAGCAAAATTTTAGTTAATAACATACCAAAATATGTCTTTTAATACATAGGTTGGTGACCTTCACTAACTTACTTGAGATACAGACCTTCTCTTTGCGGCAAACTTTCTTAAAATTTTTGATAAGTACGTTCTTGTAAGATACCTCATAGTTATCGTACTGTGCTTTCATATTTTTCAATGATTGCTATAAAGAACGGTAAAGTGCCTGAGATAAAGTAGATCCAAGGGGGAGAAATGCATAAAACTCTTTTAGTGCCCAAATTGACTCTCTTAGATAATTCTGCAACCCCAACTTTAATTAGGAAAAATTAAAGTGGGAATTATTTCATACTAAATAACTTAAGTATCTACATGGCCAGATCTTCATACATTTGCTTAAGAGAATAATCTAATGAATTTAAATGGCATTCTTTTCATTACTAGGAATGGTAGAAGGATGAACAGAAAAGGGTCTTATTTTAGGAAGATCTGACTAAAAAGATTGGAACATCAAACTTCATATATTTCCTAAAACTCTGGAAGAAATATTTGTAGATGAAAGGCATTCACTTTCTCAATAAGAGGATAGTAATGAGGGTAACTAAGAATTTTTGGTAGATATTTTATTTCCTTAACTTTCTTTCACAATATCACTTAAATTGTCTAGATGAGAAGGTTTCAAAAATTCATAAATGGAGCTTTGAGGGAGAAGTTAGATCGTTAGCCATATACTAGCTTTAATCTCTTCCAATAATCTAAAAACTAGGCTGAAATTGATGCAAGATATTCTAACCGCGGATAAGTTCTTACCTGATGGCTTTTTATCCTACTTTCTCATGAAAGAGTTTGCTTTATTAGTGATTCCATTTGTCAATAATTAATATATCAATATGCCCTGATATTTACGGGGTTTTGGGGTTTTGGGGTTTTGGGGTTTTGGGGTTTTGGGGTTTTGGGG